ATTTACAGTAGTTTCTATGAATATATTGAAATTTAATATTAAATGAACTTAATTGTATGGCATTTAGAAGAGTTTAAATTGTTGTTATTTACTTCAATAAAATTGAAATTATTGCACAAAAATGCTTTATGTAAGATTTGCATATATTTGTTAAATGTGTGTTTCCTGAATATTAATTTTCACATTTTATAAAATTGTTATAATATTTCGGATAAAAGAAATATTAAGAAACAAAAATATTATTTGTATTTCTTCATAGATAAAAAGGCTTTATTCAAGTTAGTATAGTTTCACATATAATTTAAAGTTTGTGTTAAAATTTTTGTAAATTTTAAAGTACTCTAAACCCTAAGGAATCATATAAACTGATAGAAATTTGAAGCTTCTATTCCCCTTTAGAAAATTCTTTCTTCGATATCCAAATTATTAATCTATCACCAATCTAACTGAGAAACATTGAAAAATTCTAATCGCATTGAGTCAAAAATATAGACTTTCGCAAACAAGTGTCTGCGTAGAATGCTTGGTATAAGATGGCCTGAAAGAATAAAGTATAAAGACCTGTGAAGCCTTACACAACAATAAACCGTTTTTGTTCAGATTGGTTGACGCAAATGACGATGGATTGGCCACACATATTGCGACCCATATTACAAGACCAACACTCAAATGATCCCCCGAAGCTCTAGAAGGTCTCGTGCAACAGCACAAACTTGGCACAAAACTATAGATAAAGAACTTAATAATGCAAATAATAACTGGAATAATATAAGCCGCTAAGAGCTCAAAAGCGTTTGGTTTAGATTTATAGTAGGGGCGCTATGCTTCACGAGGAGAAGAGGGCAACGGTAAGTAAGTAAGTAATCTAACTATTTTAAACTTGTTGCACTAGCATTAATTTTTATAAGTTCACAATATATATTAACTTACTATGTATATAAATACACCTTTAAATTAGTAATAACATACTTGAAGAGTCAAAGACCTCAGCTACCAGTTCATTTTTGTTCTTTAGGTATATTATTTTGGTTTGTCGATATTAAAAAGAAATAATAATTTTTTGTTTTAATGATCAACATTTTTATTAATAATATTATTTTTGAAACGGACTAATTGATCAATTGTTTAATAATACACTTTTTAAATAAATAATCATATACTTCATATATAGTATCTTGAAGATGATAATAGAATATAGTCAAATTACTGATGTAAACAAAATATTTTATAACTAATTTTTAAAAGTAAATGTATTATTCAAAAACTGATCGCTAATTACAAAAGCAAAATTATTAATAAATAAATAATTTAATAATATAAATATAAATTATTGCCACACAGTGACAGTGTTCTAGTACTTCACCATAGCAATAGTATTCATCATCTTATCATAATCATATATGCTTCAAAAATTTTCGTTATGCTAGTATGTATCTCAATCAGTAGAAGACAGACATTCATAAAATTGGTCGAATTTGGCATCTTAAGTTTAACCTAAATGTCATTTTTTAATATGAATCTTTTAATAAATAATTAAAATTAATTTTATCGCACCGAATTCTAGTGATTGATGAAGTTCATTTATCGCTTACTGAATATATTAACAATCGTCGCATCCAGGGCACTGAAAATCTACAAGAAACTGTCAGTAGCTCAATGTATGTAGTGGCAATATAGTGGATATAGTGGATTAATAATATTACATTTTGTAGTTTATACTAATTTCAATTGGATAGATCTTTTTGGACCAATGAGAAACTTCATTCAATATGGGTCATTCTTTTACAAATCGGATACCTTTTTGACCTCATCATCTGATTTGACTGAAATTTTTTTTACGGGCTCTTTTAAAAAAAAAAAGATCAGCATCTCAGGAAAAAAAATGCACTAAAGGAAATAAAAATCATAATTCCTTTAGAAATTCAGCCAAACGGCATGAAACTGCCCCCTCTGCTAAATCAGCGAAGACAATAAAAGGTGATAAATATAACAACAGCTCTGTCTTCAACAGCAAAATAATCGAGTCTTTAAATGACACGTCTATATTGTAAGACCTGCTAAAAAAAAAAAAGGACGTACAACACCCGTCTAGAGTCGCGTAGTGCCAAAATTAAATTTTAGCATATGGGATGCAAATATTTTATGGAAACAACGGAAAACAATGTCATGAACTACCAACTTTCATAAAACAATCCAGTAAAGCAATAAAAAACGGAGATTCAGTCACAAAAATAACCATAGCAGATTGGAATTATCCATTTACAGTATCTGTATTGTTTCCCGAACTGTAATAACAAAGACATGATCATGATCATTTCAACGAATTTACAGAAGTGGGCATTTAATACCTGACTTAACTCCTCAATTCAATTATACGAGTAAAACCTTATCCCTATCAATGGAAAATATTTAAAATAATAATGCAATAATAATCATAAAAACCGATTATTACATCCAGTTATTTTGAAAGTATTTACATATTATGTATCATAGAGCGTATCACTAGGGCACCCCCTAGGAATATTCCATTGATCAAAAAATGATATTCTCGAAGTTTTAGAGCAATGGGATTAAAAATGACGCTGCGCCACTCGAGCAAAGTTGGGTTTTCAGTATAAAAAACGGATATTTTTCAATCTTTTAGTAAGGCTTTAATTTAGTAAACCAAGAGTTATGAAATACAAAACAGAGCACAGTCTTTTAACTAACTATAGTGCTTTGCGCCTAATATTTAGCCGATATTGGTCATTAATATCTTTTTAAAAAGATATTTAAATTATCTATCAAATGAGTATATCTTAATAATTGTTGAAATAAGTAATAAAGATATGAATGACCTTGAATTGAAAAATTTGCGGTCCCAACTTTGCTCGAGTGGCGCAATGTCATTTTTAATCCTCATCCTCCAAAACTTCAGGAATATCATTTTTTTGACTAACTGCATATTCCTAGGAGGTGCGCTCATTCAAAAGTTAATTTTTAATTTTCCCCCTTATAACGTGATCCACCCTACTATATCACATAGCTATTAAAACTCTGAATACTCTATTCACTACCGTCACATAATCATTTTGTAATATTTGGCACCTAGGCGTCCTCTTCCATATGAGTTCTATGCTGTACTATACTTTGACCGTACAAACCGACACCTAATAAAGTAAGATCTACTGATAATGTGCGAGAATCAAGAGTACAAACTTTTTTTTTGTTTTTTGTTTTTTTTTTGCAGTATGTGTCACAGTGTGCGACTTAAGTCCACTAAAACCACCTGCTTTAGAGATCAATATAAATGTCGAGAAGCTAAATCTTAATTATGTCACACTTACCAGGTTTGTTGCTTGCTTTCCTCAGGCAATGCTAAGCTTCATAGATTCGGATGTAACATAGAAACATTTCTGTATTTTTCGAACAGTCTAATCTCCGCTCGGCATTCTTTATAACTCCTTCTCCATCTCTTTATAAGGCATGGATATATTTTGCGGTGTATTGATGGGCTAGAAAACGCGGTGGGTTTACTATTCGTACACTTGGTGTCCGATGGTTTTGAAAACTGTCTAAATGAGCTCTTTGCTGTTGAATTATTTATGTTTTTAGTCATTCATAGTTAAAACCCATGAGTTGCGGAGAAAGGGAAGGTTCAACCAAGCAGAGATCTGTTATACTCGGACAAGGCTAAATAACAACCGGGGGCGCCAGTTATCCGGAGGCCTCCATTTGAAGACACACTAACATAGTGCCATTCATCTCATCGGCACGGGTCAAATAACTCCGACGATTACGGGTTTAAACAAGTTTTCCTTTCTAGATCCATGATGTTCTGTTATATTGATGTGACAGTCAACATGAAAGACCAGGTTCACCTCGATAAAGTATCACGCATCATGGTCTTGATATGGCATAGGCTTAAGGTATTTACATACTGTATTGCGCATGACCATATCCCATTCAAAGAAGAATACGAACCCACACCTAACACTTGCAATCCAAACAAATTATATATGGCCTATAAATTAGTTGAAAAAAAATCCAATATATCATAAGGCCACTGATGATAAGTAATTGGAAATACTCGAAACACGATCTACTGTGAACCAAATCCTGTTGAATAATATTACGTCTGCGAAATATTCTGCGTTTAAATCTTAACTCTGCGCCTATGGGTCAAATCGTGTTGTATATCAACATAAACTTAATTATTTTAAGCCTATCATATTTAGTTATAACCCTTTGGCATATGTATGTTAATAATAAAGATAAAATTGAATTGAGAAAGAAATAAAGTGGCGTGTAAATAAAACTGAGACTATAGGTGTATAATCAGAAATTGGCCCAGCGAATCGGAGTCGAGATCGAAATACAATTTTTCATGTAAGAACTTTGGCCGTGGCTGAACTATCCCAGCTATAGGCATCCTCATCTAGAGAGGTACATTACAATACCTTTTCAGAGCATCGCATCTAAACATTTCTTGTGCAGCGCTTGTGCTACTTGTGATTTTCTCTCACGTCTATTACCAAAATCAGTGTTACTTGCATATGCAGAGAAAATTTATATTGAACGTTTACTATAGAATATGAAGTTAACAAGAATACAGTAATGTTAAGCTAGATGTAAAAAAATCCTAAACTGTGCTGATATCAGCAATATATCTTAATAAAGAATGTGACCACAAATTAAAATGAAAATTATAGAGATCGATTATATTCTCCCGATGGAATTAAATTGATAACACTAAGAGTAGATGCCTCATTGGTAAATATTGCTTTAACCAAAGCATGGCACAAATGTATTAAGTAACCGATGCAGAATTGTAAAAATGTGAACGGATCTGAGTCAGATGCTTGCCTTTCTAAATAAGAAACTACCTTCAGATAAAATATCTTAAAAGCTCAAAAGTAAAATAAATAATTTCACTGAAACTTAGACATTTAATTTACATAACTGTGACTTAACTATCAAATGTAATATAAAGTTTTCATGATAGTTTCATAAATTATTTAAACTACCAAAAAAAGGTTTGTATAATTTCCAGTGAGATGAATTGGTGTATATTTTATGTTATATTAACTATGCACTGCATTTATATTTGCGGAGGAACGGAAGATGAGGAAGAATTCTCTCAACTGATTGTAGGAGGGTACCGCAGAAATGACACCAAATTCACCAAATACATAGTTAGTCTCAAATATGGAAAACAATATTACATCTACGGCGATAATCACGTATGTGCAGGGATTATCATATCCATACGTAGTGTCTTGACGGCTGCACATTGTTTATGCAAAGTAAGGAAAAAAGAAGAGTAAGTTTACTAAAAACAAAAAAGAATTAGATTTTTATAATAAAAATAATAATCGCTGTTTAGCAAGGTTATCCAAGTGAAACCAGCCAGAAAGTATACCGTAGTTGCTGGATCAAAATACCGCTTGCAGCTTATAAGCACAACACAATCCATGGAAGTACAAAAAATATTTGTGCATCCAAAGTATGATGATGTCAGGTTAACTGCAGACGTAGGTTTACTGCTTTTGAAAAAAGAATTTACATTTGACGGTACGACTGTAGCTCCAATACCTTTAGCAACTGAAACGCCTAAAATTGACACTAAATGTATTGCAGGAGGATGGGGAATGGTATATTGGGTATGTATATCAGCGCATGGTGGCATGCAGATATTTGATATATATTTTGTTTAGCTTGGTCCGACACCAGACAATATCATATTTGTTGACATTAATATATTAGATGAGGACTATTGTCAGGATATCTTGCCATTCTTTGCTGTAGGTGTGATCTGTGCTGGAAATAAAAAAACTCCTCATTTGGGTACAAACCCGGGAGACTCAGGAGGACCACTGATTTGTAACGGATTTGTGTGTGGAGTGGTTTCTGCTGGTAAGGCGGGCGATATGGCATATCCAAATATGTATGCAGACGTGGCCTATTACAGAGATTGGATACTTGATCCCACTAGTGACGCGAGGCAATCCTATTATTTCGCCAAATTGATTTTCGTTAAGATAGTATTGGTTGTAAGTTTACTGTAAAGTAGTGATACTATTGTACAGTATAATGACTCTTTTTATATATAACGAAAACATATTTTATATTTATATATGATTGATATAGCATAGATTACAAAAGATGGTTTGAACTTCATATATACACCAAAATATGGTGTATCAATCACTAACAGCGTTACAGTAACATAAATATATTACTTTTGGTATAAAACTGTTAAATAATAATAAAAATCAAGATAACTTATTAAAATATATAGTGAATATAATAGGTATATATATAATTATATGTACAATTATATAATTATATATATTATAGAACATGTACAAAAAAAGAAACATTCGTCTGATTTATAAATTTTTCGTCCCTGGAGTAATAATACTTGTATATCAGAATGTGAGCTTTAGTTAGAGGGATAAGACACTGTATCCTAAGGAAAACCCTATTAAGGTTTCTGAAATCTTTTCTGAGTGACTTTTTTATTTCAAGAGATTTAAAAGTTGTTAAACGATAATTGACAAGGTGAACTCACAGAACAAATGAGGAATGTATCACAGAATATTGAGAAATTGGAAAACGAAAATCGATGCTTAGTTATGTTGAGTGTTTTCCAAGTTAATGCATCTGGGCACTTTTGTTCTATGATGACTGGGGGGTTTCTGCAGAGATTGATCGAGACAAGCACAGAAAGGAAATTGTTAAACTGATCGATCAATGCAAAAGGCATAGTCGAATAGACAAAGGTTTACTAAAAATTAGAACAACCCAAAGTGAGGCGGAGGCACTCATACGATATGAAAGTTATATTTGAGAAGAAAAATAATCTTGGCGTGTAGCAGATATGGTAGCCTCAGAAATGGTAAAAAAATGTTTTAATAGATGGTACAAAACTTTATGGCAAACCAATATGTATTTAAAAATGGTCTCGAAGCCATTAGAAATGCTCATAAAATTTGTGTAAACCTAGCAGGAAAACGGATATATTTTGATAAAAATAAGAAATTAAAATGCAAAGGATGGTATGTAATGGAGGAATTGAAACATTATATGGTGATATTGTAATGGTGATATTGTAATAAAAATAATAATCGTGAATAACGCACGGCTTAAGAAAATAAAACATCCTAATAAGGTCAGAGGTCAGATCAGACACTGAAGGAACTCATAAATTTAGAATATTATCATATATTGTACATGGTTTAACAAACAAGTTTAAGTATAATGAATTTTTGAGCTATATAAGAAAATTCGATATATTTGTTTTATTTAAAACATTCTTGGTAAGACAAAGTATATTGAAAACATAATATTAATGAATATTATCTACAAAGGAGTATGCAAGTAGAGCTATAAATAGAGATTAAGCCAATCAAGGAACATAGCATTATGATATTTATGCATTATGATATTTAAGAATGAATCTTATTTGTCATAAGTATTGAAGTTAGTGAAATTAGTGAACTTCTTTACAATGAAGTTAGTAAAGAAGCTGGTAATATGAATTTGGAGTGGAGTGAAGTTAAGGGTAAGAATAAATGCTTTGAATAAATGAATTAAAGCTGTTGATCATTTCGAATGAGTTAAGGTGACCGTGAGTCTTGCTTCAGATATTGTTTCTGAGTGATGGTTTAAAAGTTTAGTTGTATTAGCGTTGACCCCAGCTCGAACTGCATCAAATTGTAAAGTAGCAATTAATTCTTAGAATCATGTAGGAGAGTGACGGGTGAGGGATGGAAGTACGGACGAAATCTAAATTTCATTTTAAAATTTTTATTATCATTAACCCTATGAAAATCATTAAAAATACACCAATGGTCACCTATTACGTTGCCTGTGTTGCGAAATGGAAATGTAAGAGAGGTGGATTTTTTGTTAACTTCTCAAAATTTAGTGCACAAAGAACTTGACAGTATGTTGGGATTGTGGTGATATAAGAGAAGAACAGAAGCTATATCTTCCCGGTGTCTCTAGTTATTAAAGGAGAAAAGAATTGGCTATGTTTAAACGCAAGGAAAATGAATGAAAGAACAAATATCAGGTCCGTTACATTGAGAAAATACTTAGCAGAGTACAAAGCACACTTCACATTCGGCAAATGACCTTAACGACACATTTTGAAAGATTCTACTAAAAAAAAAAATAAGGATAAAAAACCGCATATGGAGTGTGTAGTACCGTCATGCGATTTGGTTTGTGTAATGCAACACAAAGAATGTGCTGATTGATAAATAAAGTGATACAGCAGGTCTTCATGAACACATCTTTATATATTCGAATGACCTTGCTTAACTCCAAAATTTATATGTTAGTCTTAAAAAAGTATCTGACTATAGAAGTAAAACTTATCTTACAATCAATCTGATAAAGCGTACGTTGTGTTATAAGAAACTAATATATCTAGGTTATGTAGTAAGAAAAAGTATAGTTAGGCAAAGTTTTGGCAATGTAAACATTTTCAGAATCTCCAGACTGCTTTGAATATTTTTAGGAATGATAGGGTGATACAGACGCTTTATTAAAGATTATCCAACAATCGTTGCACATCTATATGAATGCTTGACCAAAAATAAAATCAAGAAATTTAGATTCTTGATTCTTGCATTTAATGGTCTGAACATACGTCTAGTAATGGCACTAATTCAAATACACTTAGATTTGGTTGGTATTATTACATTCAATGTAATGGTTCACCAGATGAAGAGGTGTCATATTTCAGACCGATGCTTTAGAGAATGAGACACCTATTGCTTATTTGTTAACAAAATTAGTTAGTGCTCCCTCAACTTGATCACTCCACCGGAGGCACGGTCTACCTCTACGTCTTCTTCCGCCAACTACTGCTTCAAACACCTTTTTCGCCGGAGCGTCTTCATTATTCTCACGACATGACCAACCCAGCGAAGCCGCTGGATGTTAATGTGCTGAATTATATCAATGTCGTGATAAAGCTCGTACAGCTCGTGGTTCATTCTAATGCGGTAGTCGTAGAACTTTTCTTTCGAACACTCCCAGTGCTGTTTCATCATTCAGTGATAACGTCCATGCTTCTGCGCCATACAGAAGAACAGAAAGGATGAGCGACCTATAGAGCGTAAGTTTCGTTTATCGAGAGAGAGCTCTACATCCCAATTGCCTACTGAGCCCCTATTAGCCTACTGAGCACCTATAAGCAATGGTAATTCTTCGTCTGATCTCCAGACTGACATCATTGGTATTCGTTACGGCGGTGCTAAGGTAGATGAAATCCTTGACAGATTCGAAAGTAAAGTCGCCAGCCACTAGCCCGGTGTCCGAGGAACGCACATTTCTACCAGTAGCCGACATATACTTCGTTTTTCCCTCATTTACCGCTAAACCCATTCTTGCAGATTCCTTTTCGATAGCAGCAAAAGCAGCGGTAACATCACGCTTGCTACGCCCAATGATGTCAATGTCGTCGGCATAAGCAAGGAGCTGGACACCTTATCTGAACCCTCTCACGGTATCAAAAGGTTCAGAGAGACTCGATTCTACCTTGACGGAGCTACGGGTATTACTCAGCGTCATTCTGCAAAGTCGAATTAATTTTGCAGGGATACCGAGCTCAGACATTGCGGCGTAAACGCGATCCCTAATGGGGCTATCGAAATCTGCTTTATAATCGACAAAAAGCTGAGTGTCGATGTTATGTTCGTGGGCTTTTTCCAGGATTTGTCGCAGTGTGAATATCTGATCAATGGTGGAGCGACCATGTCGAAAGCCGCACTGATAAGGTGCAATCAGTGAGTTGGCATGTGGCTTCAACTTTTCACACAGCAAAGTTGAAAGAACCTTGTACGCGACAGGTATTAGGCTAATACTGCGATAGTTGGCTCAAATCGTCGGGTCACCTTTTTTCAAGACAGGACAAAGGGTACTGAGAATCGCTGGGCATAATTTCATCGAACCATATTCTGCAGATAATCTGATGCATGCACCCTATATGCATATCGCCGCCGGCCTTGAACAATTCAGCACGCAGGCCATCTGCGCTTGCCGCTTTGTTGTTCTTAAGTCGCTGTATAGCAACACGCACTTCGTTATGGCTAGGTGGTGGAATTTCAACGTCATCATTTTCGATTGGGGACACAGAGGGCATTTCTTCAATGGCAGAGTTGATGTTATCATCGCCAGATAGTAGTTTAGAGAAATGCTCCTTCCATACTTTCAGTACATTCTGCGTATCTGTAACCAGATTACCATTTTCGTCCTTACAGGTTGATGCACCAGGCTTAAAGCCTTGAGTCAGACGGTTGACTTTTTGATAAAATTTACGGGCATCATTTCTATTTCTACACACCTCGATTTCCTCTCGCTCGCGTCTTTCTTGATCTCGTTTCTTCCGTTTGAATAGGCACCTCTCTACCTTCCTCTACCTCCTCATCGCAACGCAGTACTACTCCCCATAAAAAAGATCAGATCATACGTAAAGGATCTACTATTTACAGTGATTATAGATAACGTCAGCCTAAAATGACTGACTCTCAAATCACTTGTGACAAATTAACTGTAATATTTAAAACACAGAATTAACAGACGTTGTGGTGATGAAATTTTAGAATACTTGAGATCGGAGGGTTTAATCGTGCCAAAATCCACTTTAATGCTTTTGAAAAAATATATAACTTCTGTTATAATACGTACAGTCATGCCTGAAGAATATGTATATTCTGGTTTAACAATACAATTGCAAAAAATTACCAACTTTCCAATATATATTTCCTTTTAGGAAATAGACCTTGGCATTGATGGTTTGCTAATATTACCAGTGAAGAAGTTGAGTTGAATAACCAATTCGTTTTGGGTTTAAATAAGTGTAACTATTTTTAATAGCCCTGCAAGACCTTTTATGACGGATACGGTAAGCCACAATTGCTTTTGTAGCTGCAGTAAGTGCACTCAAATAGGAAAAAGTGTAAAAGTCACTGTTTTTAATTCATCAGCATCAGCGCGTAGAACATTTGAATGCTTTTCATTTACTGAATATTATTTCAAACGGTATCAGCAGGAAAAAATTGAAATTGACTTGGGTGTGGATAAGAAGATGTTAACCATTTTATTTGAGAAGCTGACATCAATTCACAGCGAGGTATTAACTAAATATTTATTTTGTTTGCATAGACACATACCTAAAGAGGCCGTCCAGAAGCCCAGATCAATTGA